AATGAGAGGAATATTATTGGGAATGTGCAGCTGGAGTACACAGGTAGACGAATCGGGCTCACTGCTAAATGAAGTGCGCACTCGCACTGACGTGTTTTGTCCACATGGAACAGCGTAGCAGGCTCAATGCAGTAAAAGGGGGCCCCCTTATACTTGACCATAATGGCCGCAGATGCATTGCTGATTCACACATCTTGCATCAACCCCCAAAAAGCTTCAGCAATGCATCCAGTCGAAGAGGGTCCCAGGAGATGCTCGTTGACTTTGCTAACAGCTGATCGCCCTTGTTGTTTGCCCTTCCGGGCGGAAATGAATTCCTTGTCAAAGGCAATTGACCAAAGCCATTTCTTCAGAAACTTCATGATGCCTACGCGGGCTTCGGCTCTCTTCTTTGTCAGAGCATCGGCCAAATCATAATCGGATGCTACCCATCTAAGCTCACATCCTGTGCGCTTCAGATTGTCTCGCAGCTGGAAGGCTTGAAGAGCCGCTCGGATGTTTGACAACCCTAGCAGCGGTGATTCATTCGTCTCCACTGCATCATATCCTCCCTTGGAATCTGTGCAGAGGATGCCTTTCACAACTAGGGTCTGCCGCTCAGTCACATCCACAAGATCTTGTCGATCACGAACTTGCCGTCCTCGACCATTTAGCTCACTCCAAATGAGCCGGGCACGAAAATTATGGTCTTCGGCTTCCAGGATCGATTGCGCTTCAGGGCTTGATCCCCCATAGAGATGAAGATCAAGTCGCTCCAGTGGATCACGGTGGCAAGCGGGAAGAAGCGAAGGGCGAAGTGCTCGCGGCGGATTTCGCCAATCATCGCCTGGATCTCCCCCTGCGGTGCTCAAGGTACCACTTGTGACAACCTCCGTGAGCAGCAGGTTGCATCTTGCGCAGAGCTGCGGCTGAGACGGTATAGCAAGCCATTGCAAGGCTCCGAGAGCGGCGCGGCATGCTCCAACTTCTTGAGGAAGTAGAGGACCTTCTTGACGAAGTCGATCGGGATCGATGGCCACGTCCTCGAGCGACTCGATGTAGTACTCTTGGTCAACCTCGATGGAGAACTTGCCATCATCTCTCCATTTGGTCGAGATGTCGGTGCCAGCACTTGTAGGCCGTGTTGACCCTTTGCTTGATCTCCAGCCATTCTTCCGAGCCATCTCCAACTCGATGGAAATCATCCACATGGCCTCCCATGGCGCCGATGGTCAAGGGGTAGCCCTGGTCCATGCGCTCCTTCGAAAACCATGCCCACAGACAGCGCTCGCCAAGTACTGGAGTAGCTCCAAGCTCAGTCAGAGTTTTGTGAAGGTCAAGCCAACTGTCGCCAAATCCAGCCCCTCGATCTCCCATTGTCGCTGGGCAGACATCACGTACAGGAGATTCCGGCCCAGGCTGGACTGTGCAGGGGACGCCGTTTTGAACGTCTTGTCCAAGAGGCTTGGGTGTTGGAACCCCAACAAGACTATCCTTGCCTTGGCTTTCTTGTCTCCAGCTCAAGTGTGGACGGTGTGTTGTCCGCAGCGTCCTTTATGGCAGCCTCCCTGTCCTCTGGTGGGACCAACTTCCACGTCAGGACCCAGCGGGCCTTGACGATCCGCTGACTATCATAGGCCTGCGCAATCTCTTTGCGATCGAGGCATTTTCGAACAGCCTCGTTCTTGATGAAGGAGTCCACTTCTTCGCCTTGGCCCGTCCAAACAGGGGTCGCTCGTGAGGAGGAAGGCGAGCTATGGTGACCTCCGAATCACGCATCTTCTTGACAAGGTAGGCAACGGGGTTTCTTTCCAGCAGCTTCCGTTGTCGATTGGAGCTGGGCGGCTCATGGACGTCATCCATCGCCGTGAAGATGTCCATCTTCTGTCGTTCTTGTTCAGCGTCAAGGTACAACTGATCCACCCAGCTAATTGCCTCTGCTTCCTTCCGTCGCTTGGCATCCGGGAGCTCATACTCATTCACTGGTTCGAGAGGCCTTGCAGTCGTAGAGGAAGTCGCCGCAACAGGAACCGGTATAGGAGACTCCGTGCTCGTAGAGGAAGAAGGAGGAGGAAGCTGCGTGGGCGAAGTCTTTGCCTTCACTCTCCGGGTTGGTGCCTGAATCGTAGTCTTGTCCGGTTCTGGCGGTAGATCAGGAAGCTCAACCTCATTCTCATCGGGCTCCTCGGGCACGATGTCAATGTACTCCCTTTTTGGCAGGACATCTGCCAACGAGCGCCACTTGCTCGAGCGCTCATTGCCGGCTATTTCAAATTCAAAGCGCTCAGTCTCCGTCACTGGCCTCACAGAATGCACAGAACAGCGGTGCAGCTGAGATCCAATGATCACCCAAACCAGATGACGTCGATGATCGTCAGGAGGCTGTTGAGGTAGGACTTCGTGAAAGACAACGCGGCCTGGCCCGATCCAATGTGGCCGTCCCGCTTTCTTCAGACCTCCTCGTGGTCCTTTATGCGCATCAGGGGGCCACAGTCGCCGCCAGACTTTCACCAGCTCCATGTCATGAAGCTGTCGAAGGGGTTGGCGCACAGTCGTGTTTGCCAACTTTGACAAAGTTCTCTGAGCGCGGGTCTTCCGGGCAATCTCCTCGGCCTGCTGCCGAGCAATCGCACGAAATCCAGCTTCGAGTTGTCCTCAACGTTCCCATACGTGCGAACATCCTCATCGGAAATGGAGTAGTGCTGTCCATATGCCCACTGATACGAGGAAAAGCCAGCCGTGTACTCCGTGGAGTTGAGGGCACTGACTGCCAGTTGCAGAGACACAGCAGGATCCTGGTCTCGACTCTCCAAGTGTACAGCTGACGCGGTGTGCTTGACATCCTGAACTGCAGCTTCTGCCGTTCCATGAGCCCAGTGCTCCTTGTCCGCAATGGCGTGAGGAAGTATGTTGAGGGAGGACAGGAAGTCATGGAACTTCTCCGAGGTCCGAGGTGAAGGTGTTCGCTGCATCCAGAATGACCACCTGAGGCTTTGGAAAGATTCCCAACCATCTTTCACTAAACGATCGGATAACATCCTCAGTGGATTCGGTTCGCATCTCCAAGATGGGATAGGTCTGGAGAGGCTGAACCATCCGCAATTTGGTCGCCATATCAGTGAACAGGAGGAACTTCAGCTTGAACTTGGATTGTGGTATCACCCATTCACCAGCATCAACGGCCACAGCTTGCCATGCCTTGAACGTGGGTCCAGTTGAGGCTGGAGGAATGTTGCCAGAGCTCACTCCACCGGGTCGGAGACTTTCACATGCCGGACATCGATGATCCAAGGCTGCTTGCACCTTCCAAGGAGCATCCTTGAGGATCCGGGCAAGGTTGCGGTTCGTTGGATGTCCGGCCGCTTTGTGGAACTTGGCGATCTTGGCCTCCCAATTCTTTATCTCTTCAGGAGTGGGTTGTTCAGGAGGCTGATCCTGGGCATGCGCGGTGTTGGCGTAGACCTGTGGCTGCGCTTGTTGTGGAGGAGGTAGCCGAAAACCTAACTCGCGAAGCGTTTTTCGATCTTCTCCATCAACCAAGGGAGAAACCCGGGTCGAGTAGGCAGAGATGATGATTCGATTCCCAGTCCAACGCTCAGTCGCATGAGGCACATATGAGGTTCGAAGAAGACAACCTCGTTCTTGGTGGGTAGCACGTACCCCTTGGCATAGCTTCCACAGGGCAACCGCCTGCGGACTTCCGATCGCCCAGGTGGCGGTTCCCCCTGTAACCAGAGTCCTCCTCCATGATACGTGCCAACACCATGCACCATGTTGGTGGATCCATAGAGCCATAGAGGTTGTGATTGTCCTTGTGAACAGTGGTTGGGGTGTTGAAGGAAATCATCACACTGGACCACGTCCAATCCGAGCCAATTCGGGTTTGAAGGTACTCATTGACATACTTCGTTACTTCAACGTACTTGTAGGTATTGGAGGTGATCCCGGTGAAGTTGCCATGGACGAAGTTGCCAAGCACGAGGGTGCAGCGAAAAGTGTTGTCCCCGGAGGACCAGCGTCCTCTCTGCGTAGCTTGAGACTTCATACCTTCTTGTAGTCGTTGAAGAAGATCACATAGACGGTCCCAGCTGAATTCCTTCTTGACCCTGGCTGCGCGGAAGGCGTTGGCCAGGATCACCTGATCAGTCACACTCACCAGGTTGTCCTCCAGGGTCTCAGAGAGCTTTATATTGTCAGCCTCGTCCGAGAAGAAGGTCTCATCCAACATGAGAGCATCGTGGGACAAGATCTGTGTCTCATCCTCGTCAATCTCATAGTCCGCCACGTTGGTAGGCGAGTCCAAGAGATTCAGATGCTTCCGAGGGACTTGCTGGTCTCGCCAATGACGAGTGATGGCTTGAGGGCAGACCTTTGACCTGAAGACCCGATGAAACAGCTCATCATTGGTCTGAATGGCCCATTGTTTTCGAAGAAACCCTTGATCGTGAGTATCACGAAGGCCATAATTGCATCCATCTAGCCGACATCGTAGCCAAGGTATCATCTTCTGCTCCAAGGTTCGGGAGAGGAGTTGTAGAGGATGTCGGCCACTCCCAGTAGATCAGAGTCGACCGCCAGGCGCAGCATCCGACGTTCCCGACGTCGATAGGACTCAAGTAACTCCTTTCGTTCAGGAGTCTGATAGTTCAGACCTGACCATTGGCACCAATGGGTGCAGGGAAAGGAAAGCCAAAGTCGCCGAGGTCGATGTCAACGTCGAAGTTCTCTCAATCTCTCCCAGGTTGAAGTCTGATACAAATCAAAGCCTTGTTCCAGGTCGATGCGCCTGGGTTTCAGTCCGTGCTCTTCTGCTGACTGGGAAAGCCACGAATGGGGCGCGTGCCATCTCCCATAGTCCATCACGATCGGACAGTTGAAGCCCAAGGAGCAGATTCGACATAGTCGTGGACAGAAGAGCTGCCATTGCCATCACCTTCTTGGCCATGAAGTGGGTAAGGTGGTCTCACTCCTGCTGAGCCTGCTGCCGATACCCGTCGGTCAGAAGCTCGACCTCGTCGTCGGCCATCTCCGTCGCCTCTGATGGATCCGCCTTCCCTGGACTCACCGGGGGTCGTGCTGACGTGGTTGCCGTCGATGTTGACTTGGGAGGTGGTCCACTCATCTTGACCTCGTCGATGGTGTGCTGAAGGATCTCCTCCGCGTCGATCTTGGCCTGCGTGGCCCGAACAATCTTGGCCGTCGGAAGGTAGGCCTCCATGAGGGGCTTGAGCTGCTTCAAGCACCTCAGGACCATTTGGGCATTCTTGCAGGCCGTGTGTTGGCCGGCCGCCCCTTGTCTCGGGGTGTACTGGATCCGATAATCGCAGATTGCACAGTGGGCTCAACTCTCGTAGTTGTTGGACTGCGGGTTGCTGGGCACATGTTGGCCGAAGCATGGCCACATGTTCGTGGCTGCCCTCGGGTCGCGTGGATCTCCAGGTTGAGTGCGGCCGTGGTCCAAGATTTGGCCTTCGCCTTGGGGTTGGCCGCATAGATGAGGTCCGTGGCTGCCTGAACTTGCGGTGGCGAAGGAGTTGCCATCACGCAGGGATGTCGAAGAGGAAGTTGTCGGGATTGCTGGTGGACCACAGGGTCCTCGCATTGAGCCGGTAGGGGCTGCAGCGCGAAGATGTTGTGAAGCTTGATGCAATCTGAGCAGGCGATCCCTAGACTGACGCAGATCTGCTTCATCAAGCACAGAGTCACAGACTGTCATGTCATACTGCGCTGCATGAAGATCAAGAACATGTACTTCATGATTGGACCCAGACGAATTACTGGAAGGTTTGGTCTTCACGTGAACATGACCATCTTGTCGTGAAAGACCTCTGGTCAAATGATAGCATATGTCAAGTAGGAAGTGGCCCTTGGGGTTGCTCTTTAAGGGGTAGATGTCAGGAGTATCATCGAAAGTGCTCATGGCCAGACCGGTAGTGAAGTCAATCACCATTCCGCTGCCCTTATGTCCAAGGAAATCCATGCCAACCAAAATGGGAACCAACGTGGACTTGTCAAAGCCAGGCTGATAAAACGCTGGTGGATTTGGCAACGCAAACAAGGAGAACTGTCGTTCAACACCTGACACGTCTGAACTCAATCGTGTCCTATAAAGAGCTCGGCCCCATCGGCCATCCCCAAACCTGAAGTATGGGCGCGAGGTGGGGTCCACTTCGATCTTGGCGGAGCGGTCTTGCTCCAAAATGGAAGAAATCAAACCCTGAATCACGGCTTCAGGAGCTGCGGAGGCGGTTGCTCCACTGTCTAACATGCCAAGCTCAGGGCGTGATGAGGTTGCCGTAGTGGACGAAGTCAGGTCCATCGCATCGGACACTTCCAAGCCACCAAGGTTCAGCTCCATGGCACCGTAGGCATTCACAGAGCGAAAGGGATGTCCATGAGACTGGCCCTTGCCTTTCCCTTTGAGCCACTGAGCTTGAGCTTCCATGTAGGAGCCCTTCTTGCCCTTGCCCTTGGACTTGCCTTTGGGAAAGCCACGAAGACCCTTGCTGGTGTAGTAGTTCTCGTAGTAATCATAGTCCAGCATCATGCCCTTGTGCTTTCCCTTGCCCTTCCAATTGGAAGGATGACGTCGATCAGGGCAGTCTCGGGCAAGGTGTGGCCCTCCACAGATGAAGCAACGAAGTCCGTTGCCGGTGGTGGTAGACGCCACAGCTCCAAAGCCTCGATCTTTACGAAGTGCCTGAGTGGCCCTTCGAGCCTCCGTCCATGTTCGCTGAGCGTCCAAGGCCAAGGACTCTGCAATCTTCTCAGCTTGCTGTGCCTCGCGAAGCTGGGGATCATCAGCCGCTTCTTCCGTGGACGCAGCAGCAACGGTGGCTGGAGTGGGCTCTGAGTAATCCCACGCTTCTCCCCACCAGTCGTCATCATCGTGGACGTAGTAGGTCTCGTAGTTCCACCACTCCGCATCATTGTCCCACGTCTCGTCGTGGTACTGGGCCTCGTGCTCGGACTGCACCATGGAGTAGCCTTGGTGAGGCAGAGGAGAGCGATGTCCAAGAAGCTGCTCGTCCCACAAGGTCTGAAGAGCTGAGGAGATGACTTCGTAATCCAAAAAGGAGTTCTTAGTGGATCCAAGAATGTCTCTCTTCTCCTCAGCATTGAGCCCTGCCGCTTGAAGCAAACGCCATCCTCGGAGGACACCCATGATGAAGGAGTCAGCCACAGATATCTCGTCAATGGGCTGAGGAGTCAGCAGCGCCATCACGGGGCTGCTGTCCATCGCCTGGTCTTCCGTGGTTGCTCGGTGAGGAGCCTGCCGAAGCTCGCGGGGGCTCGCCATCACGTGGAGGTACTTCAGGTCCATCACCTTCGGCCTCCGGAGAATCACCGTGAGAGGGAGGCTCAGGGGGTCGTTCATGAGGTCGAGTGCCCACATCGGAGTTGGCATCATCGTACTCGTACCAGTCGTACCACCACTGGTCCTCGCTCAAGGAGGTGGGGAGACCAAAGTCTTTAAGATCTTGACTGACCCCGATCTTGTCCTCATGGAGTCGAATCAAGGCTTCCACGAACTCTTCGTGCGCAAGAGTCTCTCTGACCAAGAAGTTGCCGATACTTTCTCCTGGGTGGCGTTTGAAGGAGAAGTACTGCGTGCAAATGGCCGCTGCGTTTGGAAGCGACTTCCTCACAAGGGGGCTCTTCGCCAGTCTACGAAGGAGCTTCAAGGTGCCGTCGGCTGCGTCAAAGCTTTGCTGAGGCCACGACATCGCCAGTAACCTTGCTGGCCCAGTCAGGCGCCCCATCAGCCGAGTTGCGCAATATCTCCTCTTGTGAACAGGAGTCCCTTGCGCAAACCAAGCCACTTTCTTTGGTATAGCGTCGCCAGCTGCGTGCTGAGCCATCCCAGGAGGGAACATGATGTTCCTTGGCCTCCGCCATCTCTTCAAGAAGGTTGACCAAGGCTTGCCCTCATCAAGGAATTGGAAAACTCCGGCGTCTCCTCCAAGACGAAGAAGCGGCCAGAGCGGGGCCTATTGCCGAGCCTCGTGTCCAAGCAGAACGTGAAGCCCCGGAGCGTAATGCTCCGCTACCAATGCAGCTGGAGTACACAGGTAGACGAATCGGGCTCACTGCTAAATGAAGTGCGCACTCGCACTGACGTGTTTTGTCCACATGGAACAGCGTAGCAGGCTCAATGCAGTAAAAGGGGGCCCCCTTATACTTGACCATAATGGCCGCAGATGCATTGCTGACTCACACATCTTGCAGAATGACAGGACTTGTAGGAAACAATCGCATAGGAAAGAGAGGAATTGCATGATCTAATATGAATGAGAGGAAACCCATGAAGAATCTGACAGGAATCAGAAGATTCCGATCCCAGACCCCCGGAAGGATCCAAAAAGTGGATCCGCTGTCTGTTTGGGCGATCTGGATCCGATGCCCAATTTCTGGATCCGCTACCAATTTTGTGTACAACAGCTGAAACAGCCGAAAACCAACATTGTGTAGGATCGCAGCATTTTTTGAATTCTCAACTGAACACCAAGCAAAACTCCAGCTTAGCAGCACATATGGCCAGAATCACCATCCAAGCGAAACTTTTGATGCACCTGGTGACACCCGAGTTGCCTTGAGCCAGAAAAAAACATGAAAACAAAAACTAGGAAAAATTGTAGAGTATATTCATTATAACCACACGTGTATATTAGATTCGCATAGGGCACAAGGCCTAAGGCTAAACAACATCAGAAGGGGCAGGGTTATATAAGGGTTGAGGATTTAGGGGCTACAGCTGAAGTTTCCCAAGTCAGTGCTGAGGCCTTTAGCCAGAAGCGCTTGCATCCGACCCTAAACCCTAGCTTATCCCTAATCCCTAAACCCCATAAAGTGCCTGCAAATGGCTGTTTCTCAAATTCCAGACCTCTGGGAAAATCTAGAAAATAGAGCTACCACATAAATACCAATTACCACAACTATATATACACATACTTATATTTATGGGTGGGAATTGATACGAACTCTTGCGGGGCCTGTTGCTCATTCAGATCTAGATCTTTCCAGCGGTCCGGAAAATGTTGGGTCTTCTATATTGGGGGCTCCTATATAGAATATTGTTAAGGGGCCCAAACTTATTTTGGGATGTAGGATTGATCGAAACCCGTGTTGCTCGAGAACGTCGGCCAGCTTCACAATCATGAGATTTGCAATCTTCAGTTCCCATAAAGACCCGCCCCCCCCCATATCCTACCTATAAATTTGGGGCTACGGTTTAGGGTTTAGGGTTTAGGATGTAGTGCTAAGGGTTTAGGATTTAGGGTTTGGACCTTGGATCGTTCTCCCGTATAAGCAATACAATAACTGGGGGCAGCTACGCCTGAAATGAGAACCTGACAGTAATCCTGGTAATCCCAGGGCCCAAGAAATGTAAGAAGTAATTAAATCCTAGACCTTGAACCCTAAGACCTAAATCTCAAATCCTGGCCTAAACCCATTTTCCTAGAGAAGGAACTCTAACACCTAAATCCTAAACCCGAAATCCTGCCCTTCCACATTTTTCGGGCTGCGGGTGGCGACAGCAGTGCATCTGTGCGACGCTTGGCCATTGGCGGGTGCAAGCTCTTTTTTTGGGGGTTGCTACAATATTAAAGGGTCTTTCTCGTGGGTCTTCAGGGTCTCCTCGTACCCTTATAAGGCCTTAAGGCTTCATTGCCCGCAAAGCTACTTGAAGCTCGCTAAGCAGGTCAAAAGTGTTGCACATGCCCTTGACATAGGGCGGCTCATCCTCGTCGGAATCCAAATCAGCTATATCGAAAACACTGATGCCTCTCCTTATGGTTGCACAACCATGCCCCCAAAAATCAGTTTGGAAGGCTCTGGTTTCTGGCTGTTTGTAAAGGCCGTTGGGGCTTGGGGTTCCATTCTAGGGCAGCAGGTTTTAGCTTAGAGTCGGGGTCTAGGATGGAAGATTTGATCTCGAGTACGGGGATGAGGGTTTAGGGTCCAGAAATAACGGAAAATGCGAAAACTGTGCAGTTGATTTCTCACGGTGGCTTATAAGAGGCGCTAAGGGTCGTCATCCTGCGAAGCTGCGGTGTGGCTGATGAGGTTGATGAAGCAGAGCTCGAAGGGAGAAAGCCGGTTGCAGCCAACAAATCGCTAAGATTTCCAAAGGCCAACTTCGGCACTGTAGCATCTCTGCAAGCCTGCTCCCAAGACTCAAGAACTGCCTGGCAAAAACGTTTTGTGTACGCAGCTGTTGCGCGAAGATCGGGCCCACCGTTTACCCTCCCCGACGCAGTACGCTTGTAGACTTGCACGTTCTTGACCTTTTCCTTTTGAATAAATTTCTTGCTTGTAAAGTGCGAAGAATCGATTCCTGACAGGGTGATGCTCCAAAAAGGGATTAGGGATTGAACGATTACATGGTTCTGAGCTTCAAGACTTATATCATAAGGGAAATTAGAGGGTTTGGGGGTTGTCAGGGATGACAATATAATAAGGCGGGTGTGATATTCCAAAGTTCTAGGACTCGCAAAAACAGATAATGCCTCCCGAACTTTATCCTATAACCCTGGACAGTGAACAGCCTCCGCCCCTAACCATCCACATAATAAGGATTGCATTTATTGCAGCCTGGCCTTGCGGCGCAGCTCACGTGCATATTCGATAGCAGGTAGGTCGGTTTTGGAATCGCGTGTCCGTACTCACGCATCCAAGTGACTATTTTCTTGAGGCCCAGATTCTGGCAAATGAGCACGAGCCACGAATAATTACGCATCTGACTCGAACTGGGTTGTTCCAAAATCAAGAAAACATGTCTGAAGTGCGCTACGGCCATCAAGAAACATAGATTCCGCACCAGTACATTTGCAGCTCTCACGGCTGGTTTCGAAGTGTCCCCATCTGGATTCCACTTGGTCCTTCTATGATACGATGAGCTCATAAAAACCCACAAACTACAAGGCGGTCCCATCAAGATGAGTGCTCCGATGGCCATTGCCATCACTATATCCAAAGCTCTGAAGAAACCGGCCCGCGCTGTGATATCGTCCCCCATATTGATGTCATAATTTCGTGTCACGTACCCATTGGCTCTGAACAGCTTGGTGGCCTCACCAACTCCACTGAACAAGTCAAAAAACTGCACATTGCGCTGCCCTCGCCAGCTTTTGATGTAGCTCAGGACATCCGGCAAATGCCAGCGTGCATCGTATGGCGCTTCCGGCGCCACAGCTGCAGACATGTCTTGCCACGGCCAGCTAAAAGTAGATTATAGCAATAACTGATTAAAGTAAATAGTTATTGGGCCCCTTATACATACGATACCCCACGAGCTAACTGAACCACTACATTTCCTAATACTGCCGCGTCAGGGCCTCATGCATCTCCAGCTTACGGAAAACACCCATAGCCCACCCTTGTCGATGGGCACTTCGGCACACCCTGGCAATGTGCCCGTTGTAAGATTCATCAATGTACGTGGAATACATTCGAGGATTCCCATGTTGCAAGGCCCGTTGCACACAATGGTACATCATGTGACCCTTGGGCAAGATCGGCAAATCGGCGCGTTTGCACATACAAATGAATGTGTTGTAGTGGTTGAAAAGGGAACCACAGGTTTCTGCATCAATCATTCGGGAATGACGGGCTAGAACAGCGTCAAACTTGACAGCCTCCTCGCCAGCACGGGATAGAAGCTCAAAGTAGTGCGGGCTTTTGGTTGCGCATTGTTCGGCGAGAGCATTCTTATGCTTCCGAAGCATTGCCATGACAAAGCCTAGCAGTCCATGTGTTTCCGCAGCCTTGGCCTTCAAATACTTTTCGGAGAGCATGCTCAAAGTGAGATTCCAGACCTATGTAGGGGGGACATCAACGAAGAGGGTGTGGATCTTGAGGTCCGAGGGGTAAGGATTGGACTGATAGAGGTTCAGGGTTACCGCCTATGACATTTGAGGTAATTTTCAGTGACAAAGGGCTCGCAGATTCAGGACTATCTCGCAGAATTCGGAAGGACCTAGAGCAACTAGTCTTCATACACATATTCTAGTTTTGGGTATTCCATACCTAATACTTTACATTTGGGATATTGTTGGGGACTAGGGTTTGCACATGTAGAAGGGCACCTCGGAACCACGTTTGCGCCAGTCTTCATCCTGTCGTTTGTGCTTGTAAAATGACCACATCTCAGCCTTGAGGGCTAGGAGAGCTAGCTTGTCACTTTCAAGTTTGTCCAACCCATCCATGTTCGGTTGAAAGATCGGGGTCTGGATGAGTTCGCGCAAAACGACAGTGATGAAGGTGGAGAGTGGTCCATAATGTCACGTGTGCAAGATATCCACGCACCATGTGTCCAAACTTACTCCAGGGATCCGAAGGAAAGGAGTTATGTGTAAGACGCGTGAGTTTGGCCCGGCCGTGTGGAAGACAGACTTGAAAGGGCAAGGGTGAACATTGAAGGTATCTATGTCGGCCAATTCCGAAGATGGCTCGTCTTCTTGTTCAAGTTCAGCAACGGGAACGCTTCTTTCAAGACTCGGCCCCGTCCCTTCGTGGTGTACCGTAGCAAAGCAGCAATCCTGTCGCGGGTGTACTCATCCGGAATAGTGACCTCCTGAGAAGTAGTCTTCAACAATTTGAAGCATAGAAGTGGCCCAATCCTTAAACTACAAATCCTGCATAATGGCATAATGCTTTGCTGAAATTTAGCCATGAAGTCTATGAAATCAGAAGCTAATCTGGCATCATAAGCGGCTTTGTCGAATTCCGGATAAGGGCACGTTTGCAACGTGAAGTGGCCAACCACAGTGAGATCTCGCTTGCCGACCAAACAGCATGGACAACAGTGCAGGTTGTGACTCCAGGTTCTCATCCCACATACTTCAACCAGGGCTGGCCAATCAGCTTTGAAATCCACTATGGGCAGCCGCAAATCAGCATGCTTCATGCTGAGGTCCTTTCGGAACGACTCCAGCATTGGGAAAACGGAGCACCAGCCGCGACAACCGCATTGGCACAAGTCAGCTTGCCCTTACAAGACTCTAAACCCTAATAATGCATTCGTAAGCTGTATAGGGGGTTGAATGAGATTCGTCTTGTTGGGGGAGCTTCAGATTCGGTACACAACTTGGAAAAGAGCAAACAAGCAAGTAACAAAGCATTCTGAACCAGGATCCAGTATCTTAGGAGCAAAACAAGCCGCTGCTTCTTTGTTCGAAGATTCGTGCAGTAAAATCCCAAGAAGCTGTCGTTGTTGGTATACTGAACCCCATCGAAATACACGGAGATTGGCGCAATATGTTCCCAGGGAAGCCCATCATTGCGTGCTTCGATTGTCACTGGATGCTTGAAAAACCGGTCCCCAAGCTGAGCATCTTCCTCTAGTGGCCCGTGGGCCTGCAGCTTGTCCATCTCAGGGCCCAACAACCCCAGGCTTAGCAGCTCCTTTCGAATCATATCAGATGTGACCCTAGTAGGATGACGAACTACTTGCCGTCCAAGAGATTTCTTGCCAAACATAGGAACTTGGATCCACTCCACATGTGGCTCTGGAAGCTCTTTCCCCAGGTGGCACCTAAGGTCTGTCGCAAGAATAGACACCTCAATAAGTATTGTGGGTATTGTGGGCATGTTTAGGTCGTTGAAGCAAACAAATACGAAATTAAGCTATGTCTCTTCAAGTGCTCGGCTGCGTGCTTTGAACACTGGCTTGGATGCAAAGCCAAGTCTTCGCACCCTTGACCACCGGACTCTGTATGGTAGTACGCTAGTAAGGCCACATCCGAAGCTGGAAAACTGCCCTCCAAGTACTTCTCTATCAGGAGGCGGCGATATTTCTTGGCATTATCCCGAACATGTTCTGCGTTTTCCAGCACAGATTCATCAATCATAGGAGCCATAGCGAAGCCACAACTAGCTTCCGCCCGAGCGCGCTTGAACGCCATGATGCACAAATTAAGTTGGCACCATCTACAGTTCGAAACATAGCAAAAAGACCCTACAGCTTGTCATGAACTAGCCATCCTTCGTAGAGCTCGACGACTTATTCAATTGGGGCAAATTAGGGGTGGGGTTTGGGCTTGCCAAGTTTGGGCTTCCAGAGTTCGGGTTCGACTGGAGATTCACTACGTAAAATGAATATGGAAGTAAGATGGTACCCGCTGAACAGAACCGACAGGTTGCAGCCGGTGTCATAATTGTGCGAGCTTTCCACAACACAGCATGGCAGGGCAAGATTCATGAGCAGACACTAGATACCAACACTTGTTTTACACAGGGATAATGGGCTTGAATATTTGAAGATGTCAGAGTCTAAGGCCTATCTGCTATACGCTAGCTCATGTGGCGGTGAAAGGCCTACTGGATGCCTACAATCAAAAGCTGCAACTGGTTCTGCTCCCAAAAGATTCCGAGGGCCATGAAGATTTTTGTCAGGACCCCCGAACGTGAGCGCCCAAGTCTAGCGGTGAAACCTTTTGTTCAGATGCTGCAGCCAACCACTGTGAGGCAGTTACAATTCAACAAGGTCTTTGGGTGAGTGATTGATAAGGTGTATTACATTATAAGAACAGACATAGGCATTAAGAAACACTATAGGTGATCCATACATCTAGAAGTCCACATGGGCAGAATCTGGTTGGCTGCCATCGTCCTCATTCCCGGGACTTAGCACCAGGTTCCCTGCGCCCCCAAGATGTACCCCATTGCGACAGCCGGCATCATCAGCGTCGGTCATGAAGCTATTGTAGCATCCGAGGAGTACTGTGCAAAGATAGGAAGTAGCACAAGTATTGGAACATGTTCTCGTGGCGGGGCTTATCCAAACTCAGTGGCTAGGGTTACGGCTTAGTGGGGTTTAGAGATGGCAGCAAACCTGCAACAGATTGGGTAGAAAGGAGGGTTTTCGGGCGAGAGAACAACATCTTGGGTTTGGTGGGCATGCGCCTAAGCTGCCTACAGAGTCTCGTCATTGAGGCAAATCTTACAACAATGCGTGCATCGTAAAATTGGGAGCCCGCTTGGGGTCCTTATATGAGAAGGCCAAACTTTTCGGGGGAAACCATACAGATTTCGGCCAAATTTTCTGGAGCTTTATTGGTGGGTCTGTAAAAACGTTTTGGGGTTGTAGTTGTAGGGTTGCAGGGTCGATTGGAATAGTTGGGGCCTTCTGAGTTCAGGAAGGTTTAGGGGTTGAGGTTTAGGGGCTTCGGGGTTATAGGGGTTAGATTCAAGCGGTTTACGGTTTAGTCCCCTCCGCCCAGAGATGTCAGCCGGCTGCCTGATCCCCGCAAAACTGCAGAAGCCAAGGTTGCATGCTTCAGCTGGATGTCAAGCTAGCGGAGGAGCCAGTCCGCTTGCTCTGGGCTTTAGCTTTTGCCTTGGTCTTACCTTTAGTGGCAGCAGGGTCTTTGTTCTGCATCGCTTGTGTCGCACCAAGCTTTGCAGCTGCCATCTCTTTCAATTGAAATGAAGCTTCGGTCACGCGGGAAATGGGCGGTCCCAGGGATGTGCAGAAATCACAAAGTTGCGGAAGGTAATTATCTTTGTTTTCTTTCCGCAGCTTGGATGACTCCTTCGGGGACAGGGCTGCAACTTTGCAGGCCATAAAAAATGGATTGTCAGAATACATCTTGAGCACTGTTGCTCTGTGGCGTTTGTATTCTGCCACCACTTCTGCTGCCCAGCCCCACCAAGTTGGATCCCTAGAGATGCTTGCTGCGATTCGTGTCATTTCAATGTCTGACGCTTGCTCCTGCGCCAACAGTTCCTTCATTTCTTTCTCCTTCTTTGTAACCAGGTTCTCACGCTTGGTGTTCTTGGCCCTCCTTGTAGGCTGCCCTTCCTCCCCGAAAATGCCCCCAGCTCCCTCCTGAGCAGGAGGATTCACATCGGCGCCTGATGTCTGCGCTGGAGCTGGCGCAGCTTTCGCTCGGGGACGCTTGCCGGCATTGGTGTGCTGATTTGATCCATCCCCACCAGACTTGGCCCTGGGATGAAAATCGAGGGTCGAGAATTTCTCTGCCCACCCCTGGATTCCAAGCTCAGTTCCTGCTAGCAGGGCCTCATCAACATTACCTATGCTAGTGCCAGTCTCGGCTGAGTAGGCCCGCGCAGCTTTGGAAAACTCAAGCTTAGCTGCCCAACTGCCGGGAATTGTTTGCCGAGTCTGGACTGTGACAACAGACTTCCAGGTTGACTCACTCACCTGGCTCACTAGGGTCTCGATCCACAGGTACGTCTCGGCCCCCAACCAATCGTTGAAAACCACGCAGTAGGGCTGCAGGGGTTTTGAGAAGGGTCAATGGTAATTAACATGAATGTCTCAGGCAGGGTCCCCGGGATTCATGGCAGATAACTTGAAGCAAAAGGAAATTTAAGACACAAGCCTTCAGCTCTGGTTTGCGGCACATACGAATGTAGTTGGCCGCCTGGGCCACGGCAGTAGGCTTGTCGCAACCACCAAGCTTCATTTGGATCTGTAGCTCCGTCTGGTATCCTCTTTGCGCTTGGTGAAGGAGTGCACCGTCTGCTTGCTGATATCCGCGAAATCAAAGGACCGGGAGGCAGTCCATGAGCGACGGAAATCAGCTTTCAAGCTATCTAGCAAGATGCCGTATGTCTCACGGACATCGGGGCGGTGCTTGAAAGCTCTCCCCATAGCTTGGGCAGATGGCCCACGTGCGCTCATGTCCTGCTGCATCGTGCTCCAGTGCACAGCCCCTTCAGCACTGGACTTGATCATGTCACGGGTTACATTCGAAATGTCCACTCCCTTTGCCTTGGCATAGTTCTGAAACGCTTGCGTCCACGCCTGCTCGGTCAACACAAGCTTGGGCTGCGATTGCTCTGCAGCAGGTGGCTGGCCCTCGATAGAAGCCTGGGGCCCTGGAGCGCCGCTTGGCGTTGTATCGGGGACTTCTGCACACGCAGTAGTAGGTTCCAGGTCCTGATTCGAACCTGGCAGTACTAGAGTATCCGCATTTGCTAGGTCTTCCTGACTAGGCGTCGCAGAGTATGATACCGTAGGCCGAGTGTCCATCCGCAAGCACGCAGGAACAACTAGAGCCCTGCCTGCCCTATCTATGCAGCTTTGCCTTCGATGCGCGAGCAGCAGCATGTAGCAGCATAGGTCCCAAGACATCAATAGGCATCGCAACATGGGTAGATAATAGTCATCGCAGGACGAAGATAACCTGCTCGAAAGGTTTAGGAGCCTAATTCAGACTTTTTTGAGCTCATCGAGCCCTCATCGAGCCCTCATCGGGGGCTCATCGGGGATCCACTTTGAGGGCTCATTGTTTAGTTTTCCTCTACGGAGACCCCATTACACGGCGCAAAGCGTAGCCATCATTGGTTAGGCCTCATCGGGGGGCTCATCGGGGATCCACTTTGAGGGCTCATTGTTTAGTTTTGGTCTACGGAGACCCCCTCAGCGCCACCTAAACCATAGAGGCCTCATCGAGCCCTCATCGGCCTTGATTTCGGGCCATTTTTGCAAAATCTGAATAAGCTCTCTCGATTCTTGCAAAACAAAAGCGCGGATCCAGAAACGACAGCGCGGATCCAGAATAAGAGCTCCCAGCAGTCATCATGGGTATTAGAGTACACATGCACTTGCCACTCCCACAACCATTAGTGTAGCTCCCATTACAAAGAACAGAGACACGGTGACGCGGATCCAAAAAAAGACCCCTGGGTAAGGAAATAAAAGGTTGTGTGTACTCATTATAACACTACATCTATAGATATATATATATGTATATACATTCGAAAATAGTCTGCGAGGCTTGATCATCCCTTGAACAGTATCGTAATGTTTGTGGTACGTACACAAGATTGTAGGTCATATATATATGGAGATAGCAATGGCTACATACCCCAGCCAGCCTGTATAAACGAACCAGTAGATTGCAGAAATTGGGACAACAATGCGCGGATCCAGAAATTGAGCCCGCAGACCTGCAATGGACTTATTATGGTCATGTTACATATATATATATACACATATACGGATATATATATTAGTATCTATATATAATAACGTGTATTTAAATCTACATATATATATATAGCGAGTATAACGTGGTACATAATAAGGTATAAATATGTATAAGGTACGACTCAGTATATATTGTGAGGCTCGGAAGGCGCGGATCCAGAATCAGACCCCCAGGAGCTCGTATCGACAGTTGCACGCACGAATTCCGCAATTGCAGCTCATCGCAGATACTCAGATAATGTATAAGCTTGACCAGATAGTGTTTTTTCCCCCAGTAGATTGTGAATGGTACAGAACCCCGAGGCGCAGATCCAGAAATAGAACCCAAGGTCAATATAGGACTCAATAAGCGACCATTTAATTACAAGAACAATTCTTTTGGGCGCAACCTACCGAACAAAACCACGGATAAACCATTTAGGCTAATTACTCTGCTATGTAGGCAGGAGTACCCATACCCAAGAAACAAAGCCGGAGAAGACCCCCGCTTTCTTAATTGTAACCTCCTTCACCTTGATCCCACAAGTATATATATAAGGCTCTACGACACAAATCTGGATCCATGGCCGTTGCGCAGCTGCTGTGACTGGCAGGGATCGAGCGGGTTGCTTTGACCGGACAGCATGGGATGTGTGTAGGAATGAGGGAATAGAGGGTTAGTCTTGGGTTGCCACATCCTGGGATCTTTGAAGCACAAAGTAATGGCTACACACATATTATTGTGGGGTCGAGGGATTGGGGCTCCGGGACCCAGGTCTAGTTTCCAAGGGCAGGTTTGAAGAAGCTTCAGGAGAATTAATGTTTTGCAAGACATTACTTTGCAGAATCCAGCTATTCCCAATATAAGCAAGGAATTGTTGTATCTCCTAAAAATCATTTTGTATATAGGCACTTCTAGACTGCTTCATACGATAAGTGTAGTCCAGGGATAATGAGAAGAATGCTGCGTTGCATGGTGAGGGTTGCCATAACATCCCACCATTTGGCCAACGAAGAACAGAGAGCAGGTTTTGGCTCTGAAAGGCCAGCAAAAGAATGGGTGCCAGGAGTAGGATTCACAGCTTTGCCACTTTCATAGATGATGAACACTATATGATTTCCATGCCTCCGCTGCCCAAAAGATTATACGGTTTCGGGAATATGGCTGGCCCATCAAACGTATGTCTATTTGCACGAATACGAATGCAGGATATGTCTCTTACAGTCAGGCATTGGAGGCACAGAACTCAGGGACCCCTTCTACTTATATAACCCGCAAAGCGTAAAACATTGCAAGGCACCGGGGAACATAGCGCCCAATCAAGAAGCCATCTATATAGGAATATGGCTATGAAGAGGCTGAGGACTCAATCACCATAGAGGCACTAACCTAAGTTTCCCTGCTATAGACCCATCAGCTCCAAGATCGGACAAATGTTACTTCAAGCAGGCCCCCAAGTCACAAATCCCAGACTCCCAACGGATCTAAGAACCACTGCTCTTCCCCAATTTGATGGTAAACTTCATTATATTTCGTGGGGGCCCATATTTTCGGATCCTTCATTGGGGTATCTGGGAAGTGGGTTGTGGGCATCAGTGCGGACGGAACAGCTATGCGTGAAGGCCCACACGAGAAAGCAAGAGGCCTTGACCAGTAGACATCAATTATTTTGCAGCCCTACATCCCAGACTTTCTCAAGGAACCAAAGGAAATTCTACATCTCCCTATATATATGTGTATATATACATACATACACATACCCTTTATGCAGTTTGGGGTTTGTGGCCTTGGGTCCTTGGAAGTCCGGGCTCACATTCCTATCTAACATCATAAGCCTCCTACATGTGTGTTCCAAAATTCTCTGGGATCTGGCAGGCCTCTTCCAAATATGAGAAAAACACCTCCACGTGAAGTCTTCAGCAGATTTCCATACATTGTGGCAGCACAGGCCTACTGAAGTGCTCTGCGTGATACGGACGTCAAACTAGTGGCGGAACCTCTGAAGCCCAAATAAAGCATCTTGATACCCCAGCAAGAATACACGTCAATGAAGCAAAGCTGGAGTACTAACACCCTTAAAGCCTGGGTACCGCTAGCGAGACTTCGCCAAAATGAGGTGCCTCAACATCATGGCCCACAGAAAGCTGGGGAAAGGACTGTCGCGTGATTGCTATTTCCAGCAACAGGAAACCCACATACAAAGTACCATCAGTTTAGGTCCTATCCGTCTTGGTTTGGGGTCATCTCTACGTGTATATACGAGGGTTATCATATAAGTACAAGGGGGTTTTGTAAGTTCCTAGCCCAAGCCTTTCCCTAATCCTGCTCATCCTCATTGTCCAGCAGGGTCTTAGCAGTAAGCCGGCCGAAACCTGGGCTGACGGGATGTGTCGGAGCTACAGGGGTACCAATGGGGGCAAGGCAAAAGACTCAAAGCTGCAGCGCTCCGATCAAGTGAAGATACAATTATAACCGAGCAGTTTACGCATCAAACATGGGAGCCTTAGAGCCAAGCAACCCTCGCCAGCACATACGGGATCGTTGTCCTCGTCCTCCTCCTCTCCCCCTTCGGCATCATCGTCCTCGTCGTCCTCGTTCTCCGCGGCCTGTTCGAAGGGCATGGGAGCGTTTGGGGATCTCGGTTTGGGTTCTTTCTGGATGGCCTCCTTCTTGTCCTTTTTCTCAGGTGTTTTAGGCGGCGCCGGGCCTTTCAGCCTGGGCGTGGCAGAGGAATTGGACTTTTCTGAATGAGAACACATGGCATTTAAAAAGCTCTGGATATGACGAACCCACAAATGTGCTGCTGAATCATCCGAAGCTACTTTGTAGGGAATCCGTTGAGACAGAGATCTGCAATGAACTCCCACTTCAGAGGAGCCTTGCTCCAGTCGTGCTCGGTGTAGCCCAGCAGAGCGTCACGACACTCCTTGAAGTTCAATAGCCGAGGGTTCAGAGTCATGAATTCGTAGGCATCGCAGAAGGTACGGGCCACGTTGCCTGCGATCACGGGATAGGGGTTAAAAAACTTTATAAGCATCAGAAAAAACTTTATAAGCATCAAAAA